TCCAGATATCTTTTAAATGTTGTAATTGTACCAACCTCCACCACTTCCTCAAGCAGATCATTCCGTACTCATTCCATAATTTTTTCCTGAAGAAGGGTCTAGGCCTGAAACGTCAGCCTTCCTGCTCCTCTGATGCTGCTTAGCCTGCTGTGTTCATCTAGCTCTACACCTTGTTATTTACAAGATGACAGGATTGGGTTGTCAATATATGACATTCAAAGTGAATAGAAAGCTAGGTAAAAGTGAAGGGGTTGCATGGTTAATCAGGGATGACATTTCTGCAATGGTTAAAGATGGCCTTGATTCAGTCGATCAAGATGCAGAATCAGTTTGGATGGAGATGAGGAACAGTAAGGGAAAGAAGTCACTGTTGGGAATGGTTTGCATTGGCGCCCAATAGTCACCACAATGTAGTACAAAGTACACAGAAGAAATATTGGGTGCTTGTGATAAAGAGATGGTAATAATCTTGGGTGCATTAAATCTCCACATAAATGGTGACATGTGCTGCGGGCAAAAAGGAGTCCAAAGATGTATGTTATTTGGATTTCCAAGTGGCATTTCATGAGGTGCCACATCAGATGTTATTGTGAAAAATAAAACTTTATGAAGTAGTGATTAACAAAACACCACGGCTGGAAGATTAATTGGCTGGCAGAAAACAGAGCATGCATAAATGGGCACTTGTCTGATTGGTGGTATGTGACAAGTAAAGGCCCACAAAGGTCTCTGCTGGGGCCTCAACTTCTTATGGTTTAACCAAGCGTCACCCTCTAAGGCAGTAGCGTTCACAATGCAGCACTGAAATGTCTGCCAAGATTATGTGCAAAGCTATGACCTCCTGACTCAGGTGAGTGTGTTCCCTCTGAGCCCAGGCTGATACTTACTTAACTGATACACTAAATTTCAAACTCGAATGGAACTCAGACTCTTTATAAAATGCGGACGGGGGCTTTGATCCATTCATTCGATTAAAATTCAGAAACTTGTGTCAAGGCTAAACAAATTCTTGACTTTTTTGACGGGCAGTTCTGTTGGTAGATCTGAGAGCCGATTTTCAGTTGGTGGCAAGAGTCACAGTATGGAAGACGACAAATGAATGTATAACAGCAAGCATAAAAATGCAGGTTTCAGATAGCTCAGATTATAGAAAATTTTCGTTTTTTTTAAGCATAAGTTAAACATTTGGGGTGAAAGTCTAAACTATAATATATAGTTTGAAAGAAAAATGCCGATTGTAAATTCACCAAAACTGACCTAAATCTGTCCTGTACCTGAGTTTATAATATTTCAGCATGCCTAGGAATGTTGTGAATGTGGTTTGATGTTAGACTTTCTGTCTGGATGACAGTTAAAGAGAGAAATTGTACATGATGTACATTACTGGGGAGGCCTCACTGACTGTTCAGTGGGCCAGAATCAGCTTTTTGGTTCATTTTAGCACAACATTCTCTTTACCATTTTGTCAAGTTGATGCTGTATTTGATTTTAGCCACTGATAGGAGCTGTAACAAACATGTTAAAATAACTTGTTGCTGAATCTTTAACGCTAAAGGGGAAGGAAATGATCTTTCTGCAAAAAAAGCAGTCTCTTTTCCAAAGTGTTCATCATTGCTGAGACCCTTAAAGAATGCAGTCTCTCTTGGCACCTTGCTTGTTCTCAGTTATAGAAAACTCCTACCTTTTACTCACTTGTCGGATCTGGGCATTGCTGGTTGGGTTAGGGTTATTGGCCTTTCATAGTTGCGCACGAGAACGTGGTGGTGAGTTGCCTTCTTAAACCGCTGCAGCCCATGTGTTGTAGGGAGAGCCACGATGCCTCCTTTGGAAACTGGGCTGAATTTTCCCAGTCTCCGAGAAACATTGGCTATGGTAACAGAGTGGGAAAACACAGTGAGAGTGAAATGTGAGGTTTTCAGTGTTGAGAAAAAGAAGTCTATTTTCTGTTTAAGTGACTAGATGAGAATCTCATTGAGTGGCAAGGAGCATTTTGCATGACTTAACAACTCATTATTACCTAATCTTGCTTCATTTATATGTAGATTGCTATTTCCCAGGTACCAGAAGTAAACTACATGGGACCAAGTCCCAGACTTGAAAATAACCCAATGGTTACAGCTTGCTATTGACTTCTCCTGGCATCCATTTTGATCTGCTTTTCCCACCGTCTTAGAGCCCACTCCATGGACAGGGACTGCCTGTACTTTTCATCCATGGAAGCACCAGCCTTACCCCATCATGGCACATCTTCAACTCACTTATCATCCAATTCACCACTTCGTACTGCATAATGAACCTTCTTATCGCATGTGTGTGTGTGTTTGTTTGGATCATGGACACCACACCAATGCAGGTGTATACTTAAGACCAAACTGGCAATGTTGGAAATAGTGTGCAGCTGGTGTTTAAGTGTAAAATTACACAAAAAGCAGGGCCATGAAGGCAGTGGGCAGACTTAAATGAAGTGAGCAAGGTAAAATTGAATGAGAAAAGTCACTACGGCTCACAGAAGGAAACCTCCGTGAAACCACCAAAAATGAAAATTTCATTGAATGTTTAGAAAATTCACCCCTCAGTCTAAGGACAACTCCGTGGTAATCCATGTTATAGTTTGTGTCACAATTGCCTCGAGACAAGAAGAAAATTTATTTGAAGGTCTTCATTGACAGCAATCGAGCAGGAGGTTTAAATAAGTTGAAGAAATCTTTGGTGGGCAATCATTTTTCGGTCAAAAACACAATGCCTAGACTTTCCCTCCCCTGCATCAAGTGGATGAAATATTGTACTCTTCAGCACATCCTAATCAGCAATGTGCTGAAAATGTTTTCAATCTCACTCAGATAATTCCTGAACAATAGCTGCAAAGATTTTCACAAGAGTGTTATATATTTGCTGTGACTGATTATGACATTTGATTGTTTTCTACAAGGGAAAAATATCTTAGCTTCATGAATAAAACTGCTATGTGTGTATGTTTTGGGGTTGGTGCAGTAATGTACTAGCATTGAGTAAGGAAGCTAATTTCAGTATACTAACACTTATAGCTGTAACTTCATCAATCAGATAAAGATAAATCGGTGTTCCAACTGTCCTGATTGATATGTGGCTGACTTATTTTCCTATTGTTATAATCTCCATTGAGATTGATAGGTTTTGAAAAGAGAGATAAGTTTCCTAGTGACCAATGCAAAGAATTGCATGATCAGATTTAATGTTTTACAACTTTTACCATAATCAGGAAGCTAAAATCAACGTCAGATGATCATTACTTGACAGCAACTAATATATCCTATTAATTTTTTTAATACAGCTGAAACCCCGGGCCATATTTCTGAGCTTCGCTTGAGTAGTCTTGTGTTTGAAGTCCCTAAACATCCCCTGGTTTTAATAGGGTCCCCCTGCCCTTTAAGGGTGAATCTTCATATTCTTTTAAATAAAGTCAAAGCTCATTCAGTCTTGTGCACATAACTAAATGAGTTTCCAGTAACAAGGCACACACTGGCAACTCTGTGGCATTTAACTTTTCTAAGCTCTTTCTTTGAACAGGGAATGTGTCCTTACTTTGCTTGGAGGTTAATCTGGCAACATAGGGCAGATGGCAATCATTTTAATACTGATGTGCATTTATGCTTTAGTTACTCTTTGCTTTAACAACAGGACCAATTGCCCATAAATAATTTTGATTTTGCTGTTTCAAAATGCCTTGTAATTAAATGAATGTGTGATAACCTATTGCATAACCACCTGTGCAACTGAGAAATTGGTGCTTTCATATTTTCTAAAGGAAACAAGACTCTGTTTTTACATTCCAGATTACCCTGAAGAGGAGTTTATCGAACTTATTGATTTGCTGCTGACTCATCTGCAGACTCTCAGGCTGCCAATGGCTCGCCTTGCAGAGTTTCATATCAGTCTGTCACAGACTGTTGTGCTGCGTTATCATTGGATAAACATCTTTGTGGAATCTTTAAAGGAAAAACTGAGTTCCTTTGACAGGTAGGTTTGAGTCTACTGTATTATTGGTGCATAAATGGAGCTGTCTGTAGCAATGAATAAAATATGTTTTTCTTCAGTCATCATGACGGATTAGAAATAATAATATGTTTAAAGTAATGTTTGTGTTATTTTTCATCCCATTTTGGTATCTGGGATGATTTGTATAGTCTAGCAGTTAGGATTTGTTGTTCCTACCGATGCAGTCCAGTTTCAGTTTATGGATAGGGAATTATTTTACAAAATTGAATGGAACTTGGAAAGATAGTAAACATTTTGTGCTTTTTGAGCCTGTGCAAAGTCACAGAAGAAGCAATCACCTTGTTAGTGCCTAGCTGGAGTTACGTAAACTCACGTTCCAGTTCAGTCAGCAAACACCCACTGACAAAGTGAATCATTACATGGACTACACCACGCTGCAGTCTGGATGGACGTGGCCACCCTACTGACATTGGCTACACAGAGGCATCTGGAAATGGTTTAAAAGGGTCCACCATGAAGATCAAAGCTGGGTAGGCAAGCGGTGGGGTCTACAGTGAGGAAGTGTATTCCTTCTGCCGTAGGTCCTCAGCTATTACTCCTCAGTATGGTAGAATGAGCAAAAAAGTACTGCTGGTGGGTTGAAGAGGTCATTGAATAAAAATAGACCATCTCCAATAGCTTGCCTATTGCAGTAACTCTCCTGGGTTTTGGTGGCAGGAGCAGCAATCATGCCCAGTACAGGATCGAACCCCCGACTGGGGACAAAGACTCAGGAGGCAGGCAGAATTTAGGCATGTGGCAGTTTTATTCAAGCAATCACTGGATAATGCAGGGAGAGAGCCAGTGACTGCCCCCGAATCTGGCCTTGACGTGAGAACTCAATTATCCCCCTAATCTTTGGCTCAGATTGGAAGAGAGGTCAATGATGCTCTGATTTTCCCAATGGGATACAGTATTTTAGTACACTTTGTGTTACAGGAATCACATAGAACGTGGTAACTGTGCCTTTCCTCTTATTCTATACATCCAATCCTGTGAAACACCTAATCAATGATAGACACTTCTGTAGATAGCCGTAGGTTCCGCATCATCTCATGATGTTTCATAGACATTGCAATCACCAGGCCTTGAGATCTTTCAATGCACCCTATTAACTCGCATTCCAAAGTTATTGACTATACTCCTTCAGCCATATCCCAGACTTGCTTATCTCTAAGGGCTGCTTGTATTCTATTATTCATTGTATTTATTACTATCCCTATCAAGTTATGTTATTCGTAAAGTCATAGAGTCATACAGCATGGAAACAGACCCTTCGGTCCAACCAGGCCATGCCAAACATAATCCAAACTAAACTTGTTTCACCCGCCTACTCCTGGCCCATATCCCTCCAAACCTTTCCTATTCACGTATCTAACCAAATGTCTTTTAAACATTGTAATTGTACCAGCATTCGCCACTTCCTCAGGAAGGTTATTCCACACGCGAACCACCCTCCGTGTAAAAAATTTTGTCTCAAGTTTTTTTTAAAATCTCTCCCACTCACCTTAAAAATGTGCCCCCCAGTCTTGAAATCCCCCATCCTAGGGAAAAGATTTTTTATTTCCTACGGTCCAAATGACAAAAGATACAAAAGGAAGTTGGTTCTTACTAACTGATATAAGATTCATAATTTTAGTTCTACTATAAAGTTAGTAAAGTTTTATATCTACCCCTACTATTAGCATTCTTTAGCTAATGATTTGTGAGCAATTTGTTTCTTAGAGTGTGTACTAGGCTTTCCTTTAATGGTAAGCGGGGGGGAGGAGTGCTGCTTTACTTTCAGAGACTAGTTAGTGTTCATATTTTTATTTGAATCGTTTTCCCCAATGCTTTCAGTGATTTCTGTATTTTTGGAATATATGTGTATTTAAAACAATGTTGAAATCTATCTCTGTGATTATCTGAAGAATCTTTAACTAGAACCTAGTCTTAAAATTTTAAATAGTTCAAGAAAAATAACTAATTATTGTGAAATGTCCTTATCTGTTGGTTTGTAGCTGCACCATGACTCATTCTGGTCACTTAATTCTTGTGGGATGAGATTTATTGTCTCTCAGAAACAAAATCAGAAGTTGCTGGAAAAGCTCAAAAGGTCTGCCAGCATCTGTGAAGAGAATTCAGAGTTAACGTTTCAAGTCTGGTGACCCTTCCTCGGAACTGTACTTTTCTCATTGATAAGGCTGAAACTTGATCACTTTCATAGCTGAAAGAGCTTGTTTGGTCTCCTAGATTTATACGAGCCATAATCCCCCTTTTTATCATCTGTGTCTGTTATTGTGGGATCATACGTTTTTTTTCAATGTTTGTTACAAATTTTCAAGCTTTCTGTTCCTTGGACATTTCTGATCAAACTGTTTCTAATAGACCTTTTGCAGCTGCTGTTTGTGCAGAACTCCCTTTTACCTTGGAATAACCCCTGCTCAAAGTTACCATTGTGTTAACTTATGATCTCACTTAAATGCTGGATCAGGCTTTTAATTCTGTTTAACTACTGGTCAGCCATTTTGAACAGGGCTAGAGGGACTTTCAGTCATTTTGTGTCCGTCAGTTATGGGCATTCCACTTAGTGCTTGGAATACCTGTGACGGTGCGCAATGTTGAGTTGTACATCATTAGTTTAATCTGGGTAAATTAGTACAATACTGGAGTGGCGTATTCTGCAGTTCAGTATTTGATAGTAAAAGAAGAGGTCCTAGAGTTTTGGCCTGTGATGCCCATGCAGTGCCAGCCTGTTTACTGAGGAGGTTGTTGCAGGTTTTACTTTTTCTGAGTATTAGTGAGGTGCTATCCATTCACGAGTGTACTAGTAAGTGTGATAGCCAGCTAGCCACAGTGCAGGTCATTCTTTAGTCTCTGGTCATCAATACGCAAGACACTAACAGAGTTCAGGAGGAATAACAAAGTTTTGAAATGGGATGACCACAGAAATTTTACACAGAAGTGTGAAATAATTCATTTTGATGAAAAGAATGAGGAGAGCCTAAAGGTACAGAAGCAGATCCACTGTTGGTTTATGTGCACAAATCTGGACAGTCGATAGAGAGAAACTGTTCCTGCTTTTAAAAGAGAAATGAATGAGAGAGCATAGATTTAAAGTGATGTGAGAAAAGACCTCTTCATGCAGTGAGTAGTTAAGGCGTGGAATGCACTGCCTGGAAACGAGGAGTAGGTATTTTCAGTTGAGGCAATCAAGAGAGATTGGATGATTATTTGGATAGAAATAGTGTGCAGGGATATGGGGAAAAGGCTGGAGATTGGTAACAGAATTGGTCCAAGCACAATGGACCCAAAAGGCTTCCTCCTGCACTGTAACAATTCTGCAGCTCAATGATCTATTGAAGATGACAGGACAAGTTGAGAAAGCTTAAAAAAAAAACGGGATCCCTGGTTTTATAAATAGAGGCATAGCATATGAAAGTAAAAAATTTGCCTGTGTGAAGTTAAAATATGGGATCATTACTGAAAGAAGAGCTGAAGCAGATAGATAAATGTATTCAAAGGGACGCTAGATAAGTGCAAGGGAGAAAGCAATACGAGGATATGTTGATAGAGTTAGGTAAGGGTTTTGGGAAGGTGGCTCTCGTGGAGCCCGAACATTGACGTGGACTTATTGAGCCATATAGCCAGGTTGTGTACTGTAAATATTATGCAGGTTATGTTCAGTCTTTAATAAGTACTGGTTGGGCCCCAGTGGTATATTGTGTGTATTTCTGGGCACTACAATTGGAGCAAGTACAGAAGATATTTACAAGAATGATAACAGATATGGCGGATTTCACTTACATGGAGAAAGTAGAAGAATTAGCTGAGAGAAGATTAAGAGGAGATTTGACCAACATGCTTCAAAAACCTTAATTATTTTAAACTTAAATAAGAAGCAGCTGCTTCCAGTTGCAGAAAGATTGGGAACCAATTGGCACTGTGGGTCTTGTGGCACAGTGGCAGTGCCCTAACCCTGAGCCAGGAGGCCCAGATTCAAGTCCCACCTCTTCCAAATGTATGTAATAACATCCCTGAACAGGTTGATTATCAGTGTTAAGGTAGTTGGCAAAATACCAGTGGTGATATGAGAAAAATAAATTTTATGCTGTGTCACATGATCTGGCTGAGAGAGTGGTGGAAACAGATTCAATAATAACCTTCAAAAGAAAACTGGCTAACTGCTAGAAGGGGTGAACTGCCAAGCTGTAGAGAAAGGTCAAGGAAAATTCATTAATCGATAGCTCTATCAAAGGGCTGGTAGGGAAATGATGGGTTGAATGCAGCCTCCAGTGCTGAATAGTTCAGTGATGCTTTTGTGTTTACCCTTCCTTCATCTTTTCCTTTGTAACTGCAGTATAGCTGATCTCTGTGTGGCTACACATTGTTGCAGCAATGAATCGGTTGGACAAAAGTGTCCAAATTGCTAACCACTGCAAGAACCTGCATTCTTCAAGACCTCAGGTCCCAAAGCACCTCATGTGCAATTAAGTACTTTCATTGTGTAGCTATTGTTGTAATTTAGCTTATTATTAATGCACAGATTTTTTTATTATGCTGCAGGTTCTACTGCGTTTCAGATAAAGTGAAGATCTACATTAATCAAGAAAAGACCAGGTACAGTGTCCCATAACAACACTACTTTAGACTGTACAATGCACAAACCATGCTCCCAGGTGTCCTTGTAAAATTGTGTAAATCCACAACAATTTTTGAGATATGTTTAGAAAAAACTAAATTCCCTGCTAGTGATTACACCAGATACTTTGGGGTCTTTTATTCTGAAGAGATGACCTTCTGATAAAATATTCCATATGAAAGTTATAGAATTCTAGCACTGAGAATTGTTTGGTAGTCCTTTAACTTAATTTATGGAATACTTGTGAGACTAGCTGTTTTCCTCTGAAAAATACATTCAACACAGTTGTTTTCTATTTACAATGCACCTTAATAAATACTAGCATAAAATCGTGAAGAACTGACTGTGACCTATTATGAGGTACAAGGTCTTTTGTGTGATAGTAATTTATGTGCAGTAAATCTAATTTATCCCATACTTGTTTATCACCCTATTTTTCAGAGACACATAATTCTTTCTTCTGATTGTTCTCCGTTTGAAAATAGTTCTGGGTTTTAAAGTGTACGTTGGTGAAAATCATTTTAATACTAAATAGTTTGCATTTAAACCATTAATTTGCAAATCAGACCAAGACTTGTATGCTTAATGGTAAGGTTCTGGGGAGTGTTGCTGAACAAAGAGACCTTGGATTGCAGGTTCATGGTTCCTTGAAAGTGGTTGCAGGTAGATAGGATAGTGAAGAAGGCGTTTGGTATGCTTTCATTTATTGGTCAGTGCACTGAGTATAGGAGTTGGGAGGTCATGTTGCGACTGTACAGGACATTGATTAGGCCACCTTTTGAAATACTGTGTTCAATTCTGATCTCCCTGCTATAGAAAGAATATTGTGAAACTTGAAAGATTCAGAAAAAATTTACAAGGATGTTGCCAGGGTTGAAGGATTTGAGCTATAGGGAGAGCCTGAAGTTATTTTCCCTGGAACGTAGAAGGCTGAGGGGTGACCTTATAGAAGCTTATAAAGTTATGAGGGGCATGGATAGGGTGAATAGACAAGGTCCGTTTTCCCATGGTAGGGGAGTCCAAAACTAGAGGGCACAGGTTTAAGGTGAGAGGGGAAAGATTTAAAAGGGACCTAAGGGGCAACTTTTTCATGCAGAGGGTGGTGTGTACGTGGAATTCAGAGCCTCCAGAGGAAGTGGTGGAGGCTGGAACAATTACAACTTTTAAAAGGCATCTGGATGGGTATATGAATAGGAAGGGTTTAGAGGAGTATGGGCCAAGTACTGGCAAATGGGAGTGTATTTGTTTGGGATATCTGGTCGGCATGGACGAGTTGGACCGTAGAGTCTGTTACCATTCTGTACAGCTCTATGACTCTATGCCTTAGCCCTTGATAGTAAAAATGCTTCGATGGTAATATAGTTGCTTTGGAGCACCGTAATCTATAGAAAGTTCTTGTTTGGGATGTTCTCAATAATTAGCCCTCTTGTTGACCATGCCTTTTTTTTTGCAAGATTCCAAAATGACATAGTCAGGTTTTGTGGTTAAGATATTTAATTGAGTCAATGGTGAATTTTGTCTGTGAGCCACATGTGTACCTGAGTTAAGAATGACATAAATTTGTGTCATTATTCAAAATTAATCAGACATCTTATAAAACAAGAAAGCCAAGTCTGCAGCCACTTATGATTGTGGAAGATTATCAGATTGTGATGATTCTAGCTAACTGTGATTTTAGTGAAGTAGGACTTTCTCTACTCTCATTTCCTCATGTTCACAGTACAAGACTTGCTTATTGTTTAAATGATACACTAGATTACGAGAGCTGTGTTCAATTTAAAATTGCAGTTCTGAAGAATCATATTAGATTTGAGATGGTGACTGTTTTTCCCCACAGATGCTGCTAGACCTGCTGAGTGTTTCCAATAATTTCTGTTTTTATTTCAATTTAAACTAGGTTAATCTGAGATTTGTCTGAGAGATTGTGAAGTCTACTGAAAGGATCTGGGCTTATGATCTCTCAGATAATGGAAACCTATCACACAATATATATAAAGGGCCAGTAATGAAAAGGTTTTCATCTTGATCCTACAAGAGGCTCCACCAATATTGTTTGTTTTGTGAAGTCACCGAGATCTTTTCTTTCCTATGCAGGACTTTCCTTGGCCTAGAGGTTTCAGGTGGCAACAACTACTTACAAGAAGTGGTCAGTGAGGTGGATAAGTGCATGAAGGAGTTTGATCTGAAAACTTATCATAAGGTTTGATCCATGCTGCATCTCGGAATGCATCACCAATGATCTCTTATGCTGTACACTAATTACTTCAAAATATTTCTGGCATTTAGGAGGCACGTTTCATAATTTTTATTTGCTTAAAAGAGTTACTTTTGAGTTTGTATGGAATATAATATTGGAATATCTAAAATACTCAGCTATTTTTCCAAGTTTAACCAGTGGACTGAATAGCCTCCTTCTATGCCATAATGACAATTTGATTCTACTGTTTTGCTTAACAAAATAGTGCTTTACATAAGATAAGTAAAATGCGTCATCACATGCTGAGTCTTGGTGTGAATCAAATGCCAGTATGAACTCGAGTTTCAATGTGCAGCTCTTAGTTCCATAATATCAAGGGGGCTAGATGATGCAGTAGGTTAACACAGTGTCTCTGACGTCTGGAATCTAAATTCACAAGATTCGGTGATGATTACCGATGAGAGATGTCATGCAGCCTAACCTCTTGCGTCCATAATGAAAGATCCTTTGATTTCCATGTTGTAGCACCCAATTGTTTCTTAAATCATTCCAAGGTTTTTTTGTCTCCATTTTCCTATATGGAAGAAAGCCACAAAAATATGTATTTAACCAGCATTTATTACATAGGAAAGTGTCCTGAGCTACTCTCAGAAATGTAGTCAGCCCATATAAATGACAGAGCTAAAACACAGCTGTATTAGTGGTGATAAGAGGCTCGATCAAAGAGCTCAATTTAAAAGAGAATTTTAATGGAGGAGAGAATATATTCTATATATTCACTCAGTAAGATCACCTCTCGCCTTTTCAGGCTGAACAGCCTGTTTCTCTGATTTTTTTTTTGCTTACAACTAAGACTTTTTCCATGGGATAGGCCTTGTGGTTCTTTTCTACATCATCTTGCAGCTTTTGATGTTTTCTCTGTGTCTTGGCAGCCAGAACTGGACATGATGCCAGCGTTGTCAGGTTACCAGGACGTGCACATTTAGATCACAACTTTTGTTTTAACTGTGTAGTTGATTTTGTTGATCTTGAAATCCTGACTGGTGGGATGAATGTACTATTTCCTTGTTGTAGTAACTATCCCTTTGTAGATTAAGCTGGGGTAGGTTCAGTTATTTGGCACAGATTGACAATTCCTGAGGCATGTGGAAGGAGATTCACACTGGTACAGTAGGTAACATCTCTCCTTTGTTGGACTTCAGGCGCATTTAGACAGTGTGAAAAACTTTACTCTCTATCTGACGTTACAAGCACCTGACATAGTCATAGAGGTTTACAGCATGGAAACAGGCCCTTGGGCTCAACCTGTCCATGCTGCCCAGTTTTTACCATTTAAATTTGTTCCATTTGCCTGCATTTGGTCCATATCCCTCCATACCTACCCCATCCATGTACCTGTCCAAATATTTCTTAAATGATGAAATTGTACTCACTCCAATCACTTCCTCTAGCAGCCCGTTCCAGACACTCACCACTCTCTGTGTGAAAAAAACATTGCCCTTCTGGACCCTTTTATATCTCTCCCCTCTCACCTTAAACCTATGCCCTGTAGTTTTAGACTCCCCTACCATGAGGAAAAGCTGTTGGCTATCAACCTTATCTATGCCTCTGACAATTTTTTAGACCTAGAAGAACATCCCTCAGTCTCTTACATTCCAGGGAAGAATGTTGCAGCCTCTCCTTATAACATCAGCGTTGTGGTCCAGGTAGCATCCTAGTATATCTTTTCTGCACTGTTTCTAGTTTAATAACATCCTTTCTATATCTGTGTTGCCTGATGCTCATAGTGGTAAATGGTTTTTTCACAATGCTGATATCCTCATTATTAAATGCACAAAATATACACTAAGGATACAAAATGAAAAATTAAGTTAGTTGGTAGTGCAGCATTTTCTTTAAGTCCCCTTATTGTGGAATATTGTGCCTTTTCTTCAGGTTTGCTAATTCAGCAACCCCACCTGAATTATTCTGAGCTTCAAATTCTCATCATGTGGTAATTACTAAATCTGGAAGAGTGATGGTTGTTACAAATAGTTTAGGTGGTTTTCCCGGCTTCAGTAAAGAGCACAGCAGATCACATATGGAAAAATCTAACAGAACAGGCTTGAAGACCCAAAAATTATCTTCAGAACGCATCAATGCAAAAAGCTGAAGTATTGCACATATCTCAAAAACATCAAATTTAGTCTTTGTAAAATGTAAAGGAAATTCTGCTTTTAAAACTTCCATGTGGTATCGATGCGGACCCTCATTCGTCTGCAAAATAAATCTCTCTTGAATTTTGACAGAGACCTTCCTTTCACATTAGTGTGGCCTGGTGCTTAGGGGATGTCACTGCTGAACTTGAAAAACACAATCAGGAGCTGCAGGTAGGTACTCAAGTACTAGAATGTGAAACCATATCACATGTCAAAATTAAAACTTAGTGAGAATCAGTAGGTGATTTTAAGCCACCACTGGAATACAGTCCAAAGGTTCAGATAATCACAATAAAACTAATGCTTTGTTTTCATTGAATTCATAATTTGAATACTTATTTTTAAAGCCGTTGTTTCTATCTGGATGGTGATTCAATCTTGCCAAATAATGAAACTACATTGTAGTGTACACCAGACACACTTCCTGCTTTTATGTCTGGGTATATTGTGTCGTCAGTATATTCAGAAAAATCGGGTAGGGAGTGAGAACTTGTTTCTGATCTGTCCATTTAAATTAACAACCAGGAGATCAGCTGGCCTTAGCTCGGATCACAACATCCAACCCCACATGATTTCTGTGGACTTGCTGGGTCCAGGCATTTTGGTGCCCTTGGGAATAGGATTATACAAATCCAACAAAAAATTACGTTGGCTCAATGTTGAGGGATATCTGGCATAGCCATGATGTGGGTGGGTGATTGATTGATTCAGATTGTAACTGTCTCTATCTATTAATCTGTGTCTTGTTAATGTAATTCATTAAATCATTCTAAATTTGCACCACTAGAACATCGGATGTGCTGTGGTTCTTGTGCAATTTTGAGGAAATGCCATTGCTATTTGTTGATCAGCTATAAATAACAAATTGTTATAGTTTATGTCATTATCTGACCTTCATGGATTGGATTTGCACTAACTGAATGAATGTATATGTGTACAAAGGGCTCCCCGTAGAACTGGTGAGTTTCTGATATTTCACAGTTACATTGTTAATATTTGTCTACAATACGGTCTTATTCATGAATGTGCTGGGTACGTTTATTTTGTAATTTTGCTGAAGGAAAATCTTCACATTTGTGAAAACAAATAGCTCTACGTGGTTCTGTGTTACATCAGAATATAATAAATAGAAGCAGGAGTACGTCATGTGGCCCCTAAAATCTGCTTTATCACTCTATGATATCGTGATTGGTCTTTCATCTTGGTTTCACTTTCCTGCTCAGTCCCCTGGAATCCAAATCACTTATCTATCTCAGCATTGAATATACTCAACAGCTATGGAACATTCTAGCTTGCAGTGATGCTTGGATGCAAATTCTACATTGTTCATTTTTACATTATTGATATTGGTCAAAATTATGTTATATTTTGGAAATGTTTTCACTAGGAAACTTTGGTGAATAAAATGTCAGTGCTTAATTTAGAGTTATTCCCTAACCAGTAATGTTTCCAATGTTAAATTGGGGGGGGAAGTAGCAAGGACCTTGTGGTATTATTGCTGGATTGTTAATCTAGAAACGCAGCTGATGTTCTGGGGACCTGGGTTCAAATCCTGCCATGGCAGATGGTGGAATTTGAATTTGATGAAGAATCTGGAATTAAGGGTCTACTGATGACCATGAAACCATTGTTGATTGTCAGAAAAACCCATCTGATTTACTAATGGCCTTCAGGGAAGTAAATCTGTCATCCTTACCTGGTCTGGCCTACATGTGATTCCAAACCCACAACGATGTGGTT